GATGGACACTGGAAAGAGGTAACTATGAGGAGGAAGTGGGAGGGGAGCTGTTGCATTGTGGTAAACTGTGGTCAATGACATGAGACAAAGAATATGTGAACTGCTGTATGGAAAGTGAATTTGCCCTGTAAATCTTCACCCAAATCACAATTAAAAACAAAACAAAACAAAAGACCAGGCTTACCGGTCTGATGGAGACTGGTGAAACCCCTGAGACTATGATCTTTAGACTCTCTTTCAACTAGGAACTGAACTTAAGCCTTGTGACTCAGCTGGAAGCCAAACGACAGGCCTATAAGGTGAGCGATAATACTAGAAGGGGACACACTCATTAGAACAATCAAGCACATGAGATCAAAAGGACAACATTTGCCCAGGGATAGAGTTAGGAAGTCAGGAAGGGATGGGGTGGAAGAACCAAGGGAAAAGGTGGGTATAAGGAAGAAGTGGGAAGAGTGCTGTTTCAGGGTAGGGATTGCAATAAATGGTACAAAACAGAATGTGTATACGTTGTTAAATGAAAAACCAATTTGCTCTGTAAACTTTCACCCAAATCACAGAAAAACAAAAATAAAAAACCCTAGAGCACTGTTCTACTGTGACATACATGGGGTCACCATAAATTGTTAGAATCAACTACTATTTTTTGCTTTGTTTAATCCAGACTTACCTTGATCATTATTATTTTCAATAAATTATTTGTCTGACAAAACAAAAGATCAACATTACCTCTTAAACTTGTGACCTGGGTGGCTGACAACCAGAGTTACTGTTTCCCCTCAAAGTCCACCTACCTTTAACTCGACTTTTCACGTTTTTCTTCATTCCACTATCCCCACCATCACCTCCTCCTTCTTCAGCTGCCACCAAAGCAAAGAACTCTTCCAAATTTTCTCCTTCCACTTTTGCCAAGCAAAAATTGCTAAACTTCAATGTGCCGGGCCCTTCCAATAGTATCTATGAGATGAAAAATTAAATGTTTTCATAAACAAATTCAATACAATTTGCATTTTCATCAGTGTTCCCTATAATAGCACTAAATAATTTTCAGCATTGACTCTATCACTTCATCACAAATTGGAAAATTAAATACTTACAAATTTTTAAAAAGCAACAGAATCCAATGGAGCCTGGTGTAACCACTGAGACTATGGCCCCTAGCTGCCCTTCAGGTCTGGAATTGAACCCACAACTGTGGTTTCCAGCCAAACAAAGTACAGGCATGTGAGTTAAACATTTACCTCAAGTAGACACACGCCCTGGAGAGAACAATCATGGGAGAAGGAAGGGCTGCTTATGCACAGGGAGATAGCTCAGGGTGCAGAAGAGTATGAAGGGATGGACACTGGGAGGAGGTAACTATGGGGAGGAAGTGGGAGGGGAGCTGCTGCATTGTAAATTTTGGTCAATGACATGAGACAAAGTATATGTGAACTGCTGTATGAAAAGTGAATTTACTCTGTAAATCTTCACCCAAATCCTAATAAAAAAAAAAAAAAAAGCAACAGAAAAATAAATCCAGTATTTTAATAAAATCAAAATTAAATTAAATTGCCCATTCTCAGATGTAAATAATGAATACATCACATAACCACAGAAGAAAATCTTGGGTATGGGGAAAAATAAAGAACAATCTATACTTGCTGACTTACAGACATCTCTTAAGACATTTCCAAGTCTATTTACCCCATGTTATTGTTTAATCATAGGAGAAAGTGTAATGTAGGATTAAAGCCAGGGTTTTAAAGTAAGAGACCTGGATTTAAGCCCCTGATCCACCACAAACTAGCTTATGGCCCTGGAAAATTTACTCAAGAAAGTCTCAATCTCACCATGTATAGGGTTGGCAGACAACATTTCTACAAGTTTATTGGCAGGCTCTGTAAGAATTCCCAGGTATATAGTAGAGCTGACAACGGGCAAGGTTCTAGTCACTTCTTGGCCACAGCCAGCTACACAGAGGGCGCAAGTAGTTGGACCTGTGGGCTCAGGACCATAGTCACAGGCAACATCAAGCTCAATTGGCATAACATACTACACAAAAGCATTGTTCCACATCCACTTTGGCGAGTAGTGACTGAGATCTTCTAACCTTGCAAGCAGCCACCTAGATGCAACAATGGGTCTCTACTCATCCAGAGCAAAGAAGAATAAAGAAAACCAAAGACATATGGAAACAATTAGTCTAAGCAACTGGTACACCATGTGATCCTCAGCCCATATGACTATGAGACCAGACGAACCAGATGGTGCCTGGCTACCAATGTCAACCACTCCGAGGCGGATCTCTATAGAAGATCCTAGATAGAGTGGGAGAACAATGTGGAACAAAACTCAAAATCATAAAAAAAAAAAAAAAGTACCAGTTTTGCTGGTATGATAGAGCCCGATGGAACCACTGAGACTATCCCTAGCTGCCCTTTAGGTCTGGAATTGAACCTACTCCTGTGGTTTACAGCCAAATAAAGACAGGCATTTGAGGTGAAGACTTACAATACAGAGATACACTCCTTGAAGAGATCAATCATGGGAGAATAGAAGGGCTGTGTATGCACAGGGAGACAGCTTGTAGGGGGGAAGGAGGGGAGCAGTAGTGCATGGGAGGAAAGGACAAAGGGAAGAGGTAACTATGGGGATGAAGTGGGAGGGGAGCTGTTGAGCTGCAGGAAATTGCAGACAATGTCACAAAACAAAGTGTATGTGAGCTGCTGTATGGAAAGTGAATTTGCTCTGTAAACTTTCACCCAAATCATAATAAAAATTAAAAAAGATAATTAAAAAAAAGAAAGTTTCAATCTCTTCACCTATAAAATGGGGAAAATAATACTTAACTCTTCAGACAGTTGCATGGATTAACTGCGATTGTATCTAGCACATGGTAAATGCTCAAGTCTGCTAATACAATTTATGATCAAAAGTTATCTGTTGTTTGTTGAAACTATACCAAGAAACACAGTATTTGTCATTAAAAAATATTTGTGAGCAATTATAGCAGGTCAGGTAGCTGTTTTTAAAAAAAAAAAAAAAAAAAGGCAATTTAAAGTTCACCCTTCTAGTCAAAAATGCTTTAGACTATCAGTCTACAACCAAAAACCAAACCCATACCCATCAAGTCAATTCCGACTCACACAGCCACCCTACGGGACGAAGTATAACTGCCCCATAGGGTTTCAAGGCTGAATCCTTATGGAAGCAGACTGCCTCATCTTTCTCCCACAGAGCAGCTGGTGGTTAGGATCAACAACCTTTTGGTTAGCAGCAGAGTGTTTTAACCACTATGCCATCAGGGCTCCTTGTTGTCTACAACAGAGGCTTTTATTGCTTTATAGCAACAGAATATCCTGAATGAGTTGTTAAAGCATAGATTACTGGGCTTTAGAAACTAGGGTTTCTCAAACAGTAGTTCCAGGGTAGGGCCCTAGAACCAGCATTTCTTACAAGTCCGAGGTAATGCGGATGCTGCTGGTTTGGGGTATATATTTTGAGAACCACTAGCTGCAGTCAGTCAACTTTTTTTTTTTTTTTTTTTTAAGGGCCAGATAGTAAATATTTTAGACTGTTCAGGCCAGGGACTCTCTGTCTGGACTACTCAACTCTGCCATTATTACACCACAGCAGCCATTGACAGCACGGTGGCTATGTGCCAATAAAACAGAATTTATAAAAACAGGCCCTGGCCAATTTTCCTAACCCTTATTCTAGAGTAAAAGTTACATTATAACTTGATCTTCTTGATCTCATATGCTTGATTGTTCTAATAAATATTCTAATAAAGCAATCCAAATTCCCTAGATTATAAACAGCTGGTATTAGTGCTACTTTAAACCAAGACACCAAACCCACTGCCATCAAGTTGACTCATAGCGACCCTACAGAACAGAGTAGACCTGGCCCACACGGTCTCCAAGGCTGTAATCTTTATGGAAGCAGATGGCCTCATTTTTCTCCTGCAGAGCCAGCTTATGGATTCGACCCACCCACCTTTCGGTTAGCAGCCAAGTGCTTAACCACTGCACCACTGGAACTCCTTACACAACTTTAACTGAACAAACTACAGCCTCTGGACCAAACCTGGGTAACTGCCTGCTTCTGTACAGCTCTGAGCAAAGAATAGATTTTACATTCCAAGTTGTTGAAATAAAACCAGAAAACAAGTATTTCTTTACATATGAAAATTATATGATATTAAAATCTGAATATCTATAAATACAGTTGTATTAGAACAAAGCCACCATCTATTTATATGTTGTCTATAGCTGCTTTCAGCACTATGACAGTTAAATAAATGGTTTGGTTGCAACAAGGCCCACCAACCCTCAAATATTCACTATCTGGCCTTTTACAGGAACAACTTGCTGACTATTCCTCTAATGAAATGGCAAAATAAACCATGAAAATCAGCATTGACATATAGCTATTGCCAAAGGGGCAAGGAGGCCACATCTTCAACCTCCTCTAACCCCACAAGAGGAAGACAGAAGCACTATCAGTAGCCCAAGGCCCATTACTATGAGGCCAGACATGCTGCCTCCCTCCATCCCTTTCATCAACAGTGATACCAACCATTCCTCCCGCAGCACCCCCACCTCTCTGCTGGGTTTGATAATTCACTGCAGCAGCCACACAGAACTCACAGATTATGGGGTTTATTAGGGAAGCACCACAGACTACAATTCAGGTTCAGGGAAAAATGCTGTCCCTCTCAGCCTGCCATCTCTCAACCAACAGTCTCTCTCAATCTCTCTCCCAGCAGTGCATGTCTCTTGGTGTCTCCTTCTCAGCAGTGCATGTCTTTCTGGAGAACATTTCTCTCAGAAGTACATCTTTCTCAGCCAGTAGTCAGAGTGACCTTGTCTGCCTCTAGGAGGCCTCCTTTTGAGCCTGGCAGAGTGACCACTAACCAATCCCAACATCAGAATTCTATACACCTGAGAGACAGCAAACTTCCCAGAAGACTGCCTCGTGCTGGGGCAACAGAAATACCCCAGGTGAATAACTTTTACAATCAGGAGCTCCTCAGTTGCTCACAGCAAATTCCACCATGGAGTTTACAAAGACTTATGGCTAGAAAAACCATACCAGGTAATTTACTATACCACAGCTATCTTTCTCTGAAACTAAATGACTACTGTTTCATGATCAAGTTAAAGCTGACAAGGATATGAAAATGTCAAACAATAAAATAACATCTACTTATTAAGTATCTTAGTTTTCCAGTGTTGCTACAACAGATATACCACAAGCGGATGGCTTTAATAGGAATTTTTTCTTTTACAGGTTAGGAGGCTAGAAGTCTGCATTCAGAGTGCTGGCTCTACAGGCTGGGTGAAGGTGCCTCCACCTTGGGTTTCAGCTCTACCTCTTGTTCCAGGCCCACCACAGCAAGCTAGAGGCATCTTGGGACTCATGCAGCTGCTGGCTGCTGAGGCTGACCAGCCCAAGATCAACAGGTAAAATGGCACAATCCCAAGATAGACAGGTAAAACAGCAGGCTACTGGTTCAAGTCCAGAAGTAAAGATGAAGACTCAGTCAAATGCAGGACCCAAATATGCCAAAAAGCTAGAGATCTTTCCCAAAGCTTCTTCAGATATTTCTGGAAGCCATACCCTCTGAAAGTAACTCCCCTGCAACTACTTAGCTGTGCAAAGAAGATTCCACCATAGAGGTGAGTACAGTCTCATCATAGGAAATAACTATATCCAGCTGCCAAGTCACTCAAACATACAGTGCAGCCAAGGTGACAACAACCTTAACTATCACAGTAAGGTTTTTGGTTTAATAATCTTCTCATATAGGTGGCTTATAAATTTAAACAAGAAATACTCTTCATTTCATTGTGCATACATTAACAAAGGAAAAGAAATAAAACCTCAGGGAAGTAATACATACAATTCCTAAAAGTATGTACTTACAAAAATAATAATCAGTGTGACTCATTGAGACATGACCTAGCAGAAAGTATCCTGGAACCTTAACTTAAATATTTAATTCTCACAAATACCCTGAAAATATTTCTATCCATTTTTACAGACAGGGGAACTGAGACACAGAGAGGAAGGGTAATTTGTGCAAGGTCACACAGCTTCTAAGTGTCAGCTCTGACTGTGACTCAGAAACTAAGCAAATTTCATGACTGTACTATATAGTAAAGCACATCTAGTTGTAGAAAAAAACTTTTACCAAAAAGAAGACATTTGATTCACACTATCAGGACTCATGTGTATATAGCCAAAATTTGCCTTAGCAAAAGAATAATTCATAATTAATTGTATACTATGCTTTAAGAGGGAGCTCTGGTGGTGTAGTGCCTAAGGCATCTGACTGCTAACCAGAAGGCTGGAAATTCAAACCCACCAGCAACTCCTCGGAAGGAAGATCAGGCAATCTGCTTCTGTAGCGGTATCGCCTGGGAAACCCAAGGAGGGGTCGCTATGAGTTGGGTCCGACGCGACAGCAGTGTGTTGCTGTTGTTGTTATGCTTTAAGAGCTAATAGAATCTTATTTTATAGACCAGTGGGGTCATCATTCACAATATACTGTAGCAGCAATAATAAATTACTCAAGGAGTTTTGAAAGGAGGGGGACTTTACTTCTAAAAGCTATCCTCAATAGGCAGCTAAAATACAGGACTACGTTTTTCTCAAAAAAAAAAAGTGATCTAAAACTTCAAGATGTTATATACCAAAACTTATCAAAAACACCTTTAAGAAAGCACTATTAAACTGAGACATAAGCAAATAGGAAATCAAAATTTTCATTAATTACCTTGCCAGGAGAAATGTCACAAAAGAGAATTCCAAGTTTATGAAGGTGGTGCAATCCAGTGATCAGGTCAATTCCAAATTCTCTCACAACATCTTCTGGGAGGTTTTCATCTTGAGCAATAACCATTTCTAAGGAACCACCTGCAATGAGTTAATTAAAGTTACCCATCTCAATCCACTCATACTACCTCCAGGAGATTTTATGCTGGGATGTACTGAGCATCAAAAAATGAACAAGTCAGTAAACCTGACAATTCACACAGGTGAATGAACACAATGGTCCAAATACCTAACAGAAGTCTCTGGAGCGTGGGCTGTAGAGCCATCTCTAGGAGAGACTGCTATGTCTGGAAGAACAGTAAATAAGCAACCAGCTGCGATGAAAAGGTAACTTCTCTGGAGCTGTGACTTCTCACTCCAGATCCCTCAGGAAATAAACAGCTGCAAATATTATTAATTAAATATGTATTTAATTAAATAAATTAAATATTAACCCAAAACTATGCATTTATAGTGAGACTATAGACTCTACTGTGCAAAGTAGAGTCACATTTGTTGTTGTTGTTGTTGTTGTTATGTGCCATCGAGTCGGACCTGACTCATAGTGATCCCTCCTTGGGTTTCCAAGGCAGTATCACTATAGAAGTAGATTACCCAACCTTCCTTCCAGGGAGTGGCTAGTGGGTTTGAACTGCCAACCTTCTGGTTAGTAGTCAAATGTCTTAGGCACCACACCACCAGAGCTCCCACAGTCATATTTACTCATGTGCAAATAAGACAGGTTCTGCAAAGCCCTGTATTGTACAGCCAAAAAGACACAGACCTTCCCTTGACAGAAAATCACAACCCTTCATGCAAAACACTGATGAGAGAAAAGGCCAAAAACAGGTATGTTGTGAATTCTCTATTCTTCCAAAGTCCCAATCATTTCTCACAGTATAGATGCTTTCTCTCATAAGAACCACCAGGAGTCTAATCTCTAACGTTGCGAATGATCCAGTCTCCACTATCCCACTTCTCCATTACCTCTGACACCAGCCCCCCTGCAACCTCCATGGCACTCTCCTTCTCTACTGGATATGATAATTCCTTGTAAGTCTCACAGAGCTTATGGACTATACTTACTATTATGAGGTTTATTAGGGCAAAAGGTTATCAGCCTCAGGAAAAGGTCCACAAGCAATGTCCACCAAGGGCCTCATTTTCCCAAGGAGAGCACATCTCCCCCTTCACCAGCCAGACAGCTCCCAGAGCAGAAAAGCTCTGCACCTCACGTTACAGGGCTTTTAACAGCTAGTCCATGTGCTCATCGTAGGTTACCAGTGGACTCCTTTGCCAAACCAGCACCCAACAATTTCTTAAATGTAGTCAGTAGAGCTTAATTACACAGGAAATCCCCTAAGGTTATTTTTTCCAAAAATCAACAGCAAAGTCCAAGTAAGAGAATTCATTGCACCACAATGCCACTGCGGCATAGTAAATTACTTAGTGTGGCTTTTCTACCCATAAGTCTTTGTAAACTCCAAGGTGGGAATTGCTATTAGCAACTGAGGAGATCCTGATTTTAAAGTCGCCCACCTGGGTTATTTCTGTTGGGCGTGGCACAATACAATGTTCTGGGAGGTTCCCACTCTCTCTCACGTGCTTAGAGTTCTGATGCTGTGATTGGCTAGTTTGACCACCCTTCCGGGCTCAAAAGGAGGCCTCTTGGAGGCAGAACTCGCTCTGACTGCTGGTGGAGGAAGACGTGCTGCTGAAAGAGACACGCTGCTAGGAAAGAGATGCGAGAGACACGCATTGCTGAGTGAGACACCACCGAGGGACCAGCACTGCTGGGAAAGAGACTGTGAGAGACTGTTGGCTGAGGGACATTGGGCTGGGAGAGAGACTGAGCGTTCTTCCTGAACTTGAGTTGTAGCCTGGTGCTTCCCTAATAAACCCTGTAATCTGTGAGTTCTGTGTGGCCACTGCAGTGAATTATCGAACCCAGGAGAGAGGTGGTGGGTGCTTTGGGAGGAACGGTTGGTGAAAGGGCTGGAGGGAGGCAGCATGTCTGGCCTTGCAGTAATAGGCCTTGGGTTACTGCTGGTAATCCTGCCTTCCCCTTGTAGAGTTAGAGGAGGTCAGAACATGTGGCCTCCTTGTCGTTTTTGCAGCCACTAACAAACTTTTTTTAAAAGGATCAAGATTACAACAGGACCTAAGTTCAGAGAAAGCGAAGTCTTAGCGAGGCACTTTGGGGTTTATTTCTCTTTTGATGGGTGAGAGACCATTCCAACCACAGGTGTAATTTACAGTTAAGCTATTACACCTGGTCAAGGTCTGAAAAAACAACTGAAGCAAAAAGTAATACAGGGAACGTCCCCTGATCACCTCATCCATGTGTACATCTACAGAAGTAACTCAACCATAATCCCCTCCTATTGTATGAGAAAAGCAAAATGCAAATAAGCTTTTGATCCAGGTAATCCCTTTTATAAAATTTATAAATTAAATTTTATAAATTCTAAGTGCCAATACAATAAGTAAGATTCATTAAGTTAGTAATAATCACAAGGTATTTTAATACCCAATAATGCTTTATTATCACTCCGTGTATAAACAGAAGAACACAAATGATGGTATTACTCGTTACACATTTTTCTATTATACTCCTATAACACTGACACTTCAAGTTCAGATAATATCTACCTATTCAGGCACATATCTATCTTTCTCCCTGAATAAAATCCTGGGAGCTCTGGAGGCGTAGTGCCTAAGGCATTTGACTGCTAACCAGAAGGCTGGTGGTTCAAACCCACCAGCCACTCCTTGGAAGGAAGACTGGGCAATCTACTTCCGTAAAGATACTCCCTCAGAAACCCAAGGAGGGGTCACTATGAGTCGAATTGACTCAATGGCAGTGAACTTGGTTTGGTTTTTTTTGGGTTGTTGTTTCTTTTTTGTATAAAATCCTAGAACATTTATGAGATAAGACCTCCAACATGTTATCTCTAATTATTGGTGTGTGGTAGTATCTGTTGGTTCATCTTTGTACTTTTCCACATGGCATACATTTTTATGAAGAGCAAGTATCCTTTTTACAACGGTAGTCTCTGCTACTGGTAGATTTCTATAAATTAGTTTCTTAATTAGAAGCTAATTGACCTAACATGTTGATTTTAATTTATTGGAAAAATTTGTTTGATATATCATCACTTAAACTATTCTCAAATTTCTATGTGGTTAATTTAGGTAATACAGGCATATCTCAGAGATGTTGCAGGTTTCATTCCAGACTACTACAATAAAGCAAGTATTGCAGTAAAGTGAGTCACAAATTTTTTGGTTTCCCAAACTGAAAGGAAACTCAGTGCCACAGAGTTGATTCTGATTCATAGCAACCCTACAGGTAGAGAACTTCATAGGGTCTCCAAAGCTGTAAATCTTTTTTTTTATTATTGTGATTTGGCTGAAGATTTACAGAGCACATTCACTTTCCATACAGCAGTTCACATAGACTTTGTCTCATGACATTGATCTCAGTTTACCACAATGCAACAGCTCCCCT